GTTCCGACAGGGTTTTTCACGCAGTGTCAGTTGGACGAGCGTCAGACTGAAGTCACCTGCCTGTAATCTGAAGGTCAAGCCACTGTTGGGACATCTTTTTGGTGCGTTTGCATGTTGATTTAACGCGTAATGGGCGTGTTTTTGCATATTTGTAGTGTAAAGGGGGATGGGCAGAAAAGAAAATGTTAGTTTTGAAGAAAAATTCCACCAAGAGGATCATTTATATCTTTATGCTGATTGGGTAATAGCAAAACAAGATGGGAGTGGGTATGAAAGAAGACTGTAGGTTTGTTTGACAAAAGGTTTGTTGTGTAAATAATTTGTATACTTGCAAAAGATGGGTGACTGGTAGGATACTGAATGAAAGAAAGTGTACTTAAGGAAATGTAATTGAAAGTGATATATGTATGAAGGTGAGCTACAAGCATTTGATATTGCTACTAGTTCAACAAGTAAATGTAGGGTCATATTGCACAGTCTTCTTTTGCAAAATTGTAGATGAGTAGGGGTTGGTGTAGAGCTTGTTACCATTATAATCAACAATGACAATGCAGAATCTGTTGTCTGTTGAAAAGTATTGAAGCTGGGCCTAGTCAAGTTGGTTTTTCAGAATCCATCAAGGCTTTGCTTCAAGAGCACAAAAAGTAGCAAAACTTCAACAATTGAGTGTTAAATCAAGATTGCTTGATTGTATTATTTCTGGTCACTAATGTGTTAATATTTGTATCGCAGATCAAAAGGATTCAGAAGATTAGATCGAAATATCGGATTCAGGAAATGATTGATGTCACAAAAATGATTTCATTGCCTTCTGGTTTTGAGAAACATATGTTGTCAGAATGGAACTCGTCCTTAAGCTTACCTGATCAGGATTGAGTAAAAGATCTTCAAGCTGGATTTCTCAAAACACGCATACCACCGCTGAACTTTTATTGCTCAATATTCTTATTGATAACGTTGAGAGTCATGTTAGCCTGAAGTAGATGAAGCCTAACACAAGGGCACGACATATGTAAAAGCCATATCATCCTTATGCTTTGGCTTACTTTGTCCGTCTTGGTTTATCCGCTTACTTTTGGCTCACGCGCATTTTTCACGCGTCCATATCGGACCTCAACTTCTCCGGTTGCAGGTATTCTTGTGGCGAGTACTGCGACTGCCTGAGGTTACTTTTTTCTGCGGGGTTGGCTGAGATGGAAGTGGGCAGATCAGTGGCTGAGCCATTTGGTTTGGCTGATTTTGAATTCATTCAAGAAATCCTGGATGATTTGTGAGCGTTTGTCTTGAACCTCTGGTCACAAATTGATTCACGTCAGTCCAACGTCACACCGGCTTACGTCAGCCATTCTGAGCCATTTCCTGTATCCAACCAGTCAAACAAAACCGGCCTGAGCTTTTAAACACTCTAATTTTGAAACTTAAGAGTACTTAAGACCTTTGACGAAACTTTTAAATTCTCAAACAAATCACATCGAATTTCGATTTGACTATTTACACACAAGCGCATTCATCCAACTCTCCTCATCCACAAATTCACAAACACCAACCAAAACAAACTACGCCCTCAACAATCGACCAACTCATACTACCACTTCACTATCATCACCACTTAACTTTCTTCACCTTATTCACATTCTACAAAAATGGGTCGAGCTATGAAGAACTTTTATAACCCAGTTCAGCGTGCTACTCGTTCTCAACTTGATGCTTTATCATCATCATCAGAAGATCACAAACCTCATCAACGTCTTCCTGGTCCATACCTAGCTTCGACACCTTGGAGAAGACATTCCAGACGTCGAACAACAGATGGGATCAATGAAGATGACACTCATCACGCTACAGTTGGGTTTGCTTCGGTTGGTCAAAATCTTGAACCTGAAGTTACAACCACAACAACAACAGAAAGTTCTTCTACCAATCTTGACATACCTAAGAAGTACAATGAACAACCATTTGATCTTGATCAAGAAGGTGGTGGTACGTTTTTCTTCATCTTCTATTTTTTTTCTTTCTCAATCGATCTGTCTATCTGTGCCTCCTCTTTTTCTTTCTTCTTGTCTGTATTGCAGTACCCTTAAAAAGAAGTGATCCGAGAGAAGTGATTTTTGATACTACTTTCTTGAAGTAGGTCCATGAACCATTCTAGTCGGAACCAAAATCACTTACCCAATGCTTCTCATTTTCTGTGTTCGTTCTATTTACATAGATGTTTTTGAGGAATACTTTCTTACACCTTCTCAAGCTGCTCAACAAAGATTGGATCGATTGACTTCGAGTCAACCGACTAGTACTGAAGCCACTCAATCCACAACTGAAATCGGTGATCAAGTCTCCCAGCAAAGAGCCGTCCTTGAATTAGCCTATGCGCGTCATCGATTACAAACTGCATCCCAAGCTTTGTCCGGTGAAGAGCTACCAACAGGATATGTTTCGATGCGTTCTCCCTTCCCTAGTGCTGCTATGATGGTCTCTTCAGGTTCGCGTTCGCGCAACACGTAAGTTTTGACTTTCACCGCGTCTAACCACGCTACCTGAACAAAGTACCTACTCGCGTCTCCTTGCTTTTCAACATTCTTTCAAATAGGAGTACTCAAGAAGAAACATCCTCTGCGTCAACCTCTTCTCACACACTTGCTGCTCCTCGCTTAACTCATCGAGAGCCACCCACAACACAAGAAACAACAGAAACACGACTGCCAAACCTACCAGCTCATTTCAGGGAGATAACTGAAGAAAATGAAGATGATATTATCATCCCATCTTCATCCTCACAATACCGATTGATTCCTGTAGAAGATATGACATTTAGTGGGGTGGATCGAATGCCTCGCGAACCCGAACGACGGTATAGTTATCCTTCAATGGCACTCGATGATAATTCCTTTGCCATGTTTTCTACTGTTGATGGTGGAGAGGACGTACCGGACAACATCTTAATCGATGCTCTTGTCGATTGGAATCATCGTTTCGACTTTTAAAAAGGAGTGGACCGATTCCAACTTGAGTGCTAGTGTCTCTTGGTTAATTCAATCTTTACCATCCTTTGAAGTCTACTCTTTCAGTCTTCAAGAAGTCTGCATCGCAAGATAGTCGATCTGGATGCGTTTCTTTTTTCCAAAAAATCTGTTTTTTTTCTTTATACTCGTTTTTGTTAGGATTATGTTGTTTTCTAAATGAAGTTGAAAGTTGATACAAAATTTGAATTACTATTTGACCCGTTTGCAGAGAAATTCATAACCTCGAGCTGCTTACTTCATCATTCATCATTCAAATTAATGAGAAACCAATATCAAAGAAAAGGAGAAGCTGTTGAGTTTGTTATAGAATTGTATACACTAAAAAGAAATAAAACGTTGTAATCTGCTTAAGAAAGTGATGAGTATCATGAGGAAAGTTATCATGCAAGCTTAAGCTGCTATTTTTTCTTGACAAAGACTTAATTAATCATTTATCTTGGGTAAAAATTCTGACGCAAACTGAATTGATAACTCTCGTGAGTCTCTGGATTTCGAAGTACAGTCATTCCAATTTTGCTTGTCCAATCGGATTTTATTTATTTATTTTTGACTGCAATACAGGTGAATCTATAAGCATAAACATATGAGTCATATGCTTATTCTGGAGTTTTGAGTCTCACCAACCACAGCTGACCACAGTCCACAGCGCTTGATTATTACAAACCTGTCCTCATCACCATCGTTTTGTTCTCACACACATCGTTCCAGCTCAATCCTATCTTTCATCGTTCATCCTCTCAGCCAAGGCACTTTGATGTGAGTTTTGTCCCAGTCTTCTGGGCTTTGATTTGAGGCTCTCTGCTTCGATTCAGACCTCTCAGCTTCGGTTCAAACCTTCCCATCTTTGATTCAACCCTTGGTGTCTTTGATTTGATTCTGTAAAGTACACTCACTCAATCAAAAACTAGCTTGAAAACAATACTGACATTCCTTGAAATTACATTGTCGGCGAAATTCATCAGATTGGAGTGGATTACTCAAAGCACCTTTATCCGCTACTTCCAAAACACTCGGCAATTCCGTATCAAGCAGATGATGAAGAAGAATTGAAGATGAAATGGATTGCTATGAAACACATTGATCTAGGTTTCATTCGCTACCCACACAATATCAAAAAAGAAGCCAAATTGTTGCCATCACTCGATCACCCTAATGTTGGTTCAATTTCCCCAAGCTTATGTTTAGTGAAGTAATGTCTTCAAATCTTGTCTCATTTGTGAATCCTTCCTTTAGGCCTCGGATTTAACTTGTAAGCATTGGATCCAATGGTTAATTCTCTAGATGTATTTTGGTGAACTCAATCGTTCCAATGTTATATATCTTCCTTAGCTCTGTGATTCTGCCCCATCAGATTAAATCCGTTGTCTTAATGTTAATCCTGCTTATATTTTCATAGTCTCAGCTGGCCATTGAGACTCTTTGAAATACAGTCTCTTCGTGTGATGCTCCAATCACTTCTCAAATGCATCGCCACCTTGTCATAAATGAGGAGATCATGTGCAATGATAGTAGTCACAGATAGGCTGAGTGCCAACAGTTCTTAGCTCGAGTTGTAGAGGAAATTTACCTCACGCTGAAGTCTGTAAGGAAGCCAGCGACTACTAGTCCCAAGTACGAGCTCAGGTCAAACTGCAAAGGAGCCAAGACAGTGCATAAAAACAGTGTCTTGGTATGCACTTGTAGGAGTTCCATACACTCTGAGATCAAACTGTGGATCTAATGAGACACACTGTACCCACAGGCAATGGAAAGAGTCCAGAAAGTATATCGATTATAAGAACCAAGAATGAGGAAAGTAAACCGTTCATTTTATTGATAATGGCCATTTGGATGGCAGGTACAAACTTCCTATAGACAAATAAGACACTTATTCTTTCTCAAGTATGAGCACAACAAAATTGCATAGCAAGAAAAAACAATAAAAGATCCAGAAAACTAAAAGGTCTGGAGTAAATCTAGACC